TGAATTATTTTTGAACCATCTGATAGCGGATATTTACGATCGCTATTCAAATAGGGAAGTTATAGAACTAATATAAGTTGACATATCACTCCAACCGTACTGAGAAAGTCTTTGTTTCCTGTTATTGTAATGTCAGTCAAACCATACAGGAAGTGTATGATTTTTCAGTCATTTATTTAGCTGTGTACTTATATTTTCATGCAAATAAAATGAAATGCCTTTCAAGAATGTCCATTGTTGTTATTATTGAAATAAAAATATCTATATTTCAATAATAACAACAATTGACTAAAATTTCTTATGCAACCTTCCGTGATTTTTTTTATCTGACGTTTTTTTTGGAAGAGGACTACAATTCAATGGGATCTCCGTATTGGTGCAAAAATAATGTATTACTATGCTAACTAATAATATTACTAATTTCAGGCAATTGGATCACTTTTTAGTTCAGCTGCAGAACCTAAGCGTTATGCTTTTATATTTCAGGCATTGACCATAACGCTACAGATCCCGTAATGCAAATAAAGTGCAATTTACGGCGCAAGATTTCTGAGCACGTTTAGCGTGTATTTCTCCACTTTCCAGCACTGGTCATATACATCCTTTCATTCCTTAATTCTAGACATATTTTATTATCAACCTGTATATTTTATCCAGTTACTTACCCTTTATAGTCGTATCTACAGATATCTTTAGCGAGATACCGTCATTAAGTCAACATGGCTGTTGGAAGAAAGAAAATTCAAAACTTTGAATTTATTTAGTGAATTTATTCGTCTGTAGATACGACTACGAGGACTGTTCAATAAATTATGTCCTCGGTGTTCGGAAAGAAACAACACACTGATTTTGTTTTTATGCCTTCCCTTAAATACTTTCCTTTAATTGAAACACATATCTGTAACATTTTTATTCAAATCCTAAACGTTTTTTAAAACACAATTTTGGGTATGATCGTAATATACTGGAATATGGAAGATCCTTTGACCTCAAAAACAGCAACAATTGGGTTTTTTTATGATTCAATGATTAAATGATACAGACTCATTAAGCAAACCATGCTTTATTGCTGACATTTGCTGATGTCTTAGCCAAATGCAGTGAGAGAAGCGGGGCTTAATAAACATTACCATGCAGTTGTATCAAACTGGATTTTCTAAATCCATTTTTAATGCGATATAGAAAAAATAAATGTTAGGCACGTAGCATGAATTTTAATAGGGGGCATTATAAGAAAAAAATTGGCCACTTACCTAACAAATCTTTGACTAAGCTAGCACCCAAAAGAGGATAATTCTCCAAACTTCAAATCTTATTTTGTGGGATGTGGAGGGTTAGGGTCCATCAACGTGGACTTCACTATACTGTATCAATGTGGGGGGGGGGGGGGGCAGGTTTTCAATAAACATTTTCATTCTAAATATATTTTAAAAATTTTCGTTCTGAAAAAGTTTGGTGAGTGGAATAGCATCATCTCCCCCCGATTCTATGTGCCTATAATTATGTAATGTTCACCTGAGTGGAAGTTGGATGGAGGCGAAATCACATTTCAGAACTAAAACACGCTAATAACGAAGTGCCAGGGACGGACGATTTTGCTTCGTCATAAATGTAATTTGTTATATCCATTAGGTTCACAATATATTTTAAAGCCACGGGAAAGAAAATCACTTTGCTGCAGGTGTCATTCAATATAAGCGTGTTCGCTGTAAGCGTGTTTTACTATAATTGTATCAATTTGGAAGTCCTCAATATATTTTTTGTCCAATGTAGAAAAAATAAATCCTAATGTTTAACTGAAAGGTCCTGTGCAGGTAAACATAATAAAGTTTGTTTTTTTTTTTTTTACAATATTGGATCTTAGCCAGTCAGAGAGATAGAAAATTTTCAATCATATTATACATGTAGAAATATTTAATAATGCTTTTAATGCTAATGAATCGAGTTTTCTGAATGTTAACGTTGAGTTGTAAAACTATCTAAAATTTTTGAGATTTTAACATTGAGTTCATTTTTTTAGTTGAAATACACAATGTTATAATACAAAGATGTACATGTACATATATAAGATGAACATAATCTTGTTATTGTAGTATTCATTTTTGAGTGAGAAGGGGTGAGCAAAAAAAAAAAAGAATGAGAGAATGCGTGGATGAGAGAAAAGAAAGTGAGGGGGCACAGCTGATTTAATAACGTGGTTAGATTCATTACTGATATTTATATTAAGTTAAAAGCATAAAAGACAATTTTTGCCAGGTTCTGTTAAACTCATTTATTTTATTGAATTCCTTGGCTCTATATTTCAATGATATTAAGAATTTTGAAGGCATTTAGAAAGCCATGGATAGAGAGGCTTAGATTCTGACAACTAGCTGTTGAGATTTTTATTTGAATTTAAATGTTGCACGTTTTCATTTAGTGTCATTTTTCTGCTTGATTAATTGATTGTATGTTGTTTTATGTTTCGAGAATTTTTCACTCATATAGAGACGTCACCATGCGAGGGTTGTTCGAAAAGTTCGTGGACTACCGTCATAACTTTTTTAATTTAACGTCATATTATATCCAAATTTCGAAGAAATATTTTAACAGTAAATTCAAATGATGTGTATTAAAATTTTTTTAAATATCTTGGTTTATTTCAAACTTATTTAGACTAAAACTGCGAAAATAGGATCACGGAGCAGGTCAAAATTTTGTAATTTACAATCAAGACACTAAATAATGTCTGACGTCATATCTTCTGTAAAATGATACAAAAACGGAAAAAAAATTCTACAGCTTCAAATTAAGAATTGTTTCATCGTTTCTGATTCCAAAGTATGACTTAATATTTTGCTTCATTGAAAAGAAATCAGTTTCAGAGGATAGGTAGTCCTCATTGAAAAAGGCAAAAAAGATGACGTCGTAGAAGGAGTTAACCATACAATTTTGTGTTGTACTCTGGAAAACTCCAGAAAAAAAACTCTGAAAATGCCAGAGGAAGTAGGAAATATGTCAAAAGCGAGCCATGCATGTTTGTTACATGGTACAAGCGATATTTGAATGATAGACTACTCTGCTTAGACGATGGTGATCTGTGAAAAAAACGGATTATCTGTAAAAATCTTATCAAAAACATTGAAAAGTTAGTAACGTCATGCTAAGAGTTTGGTGCTTTACAGATGCTGATTTTGTGAAAGCAGACTTATGCAGTGAAAAAAAATATAACATTGACAAACAAAATAATGCTATTGGAACAATTATTAGCAAAATAGATTTCAAGTAATAAAGAAACGTTTTTAATGAATGCGCTGGTATTGGGCAATACTGTGTGAAATGCATAGGGGAAGTATTTTTGAGAACCTTATGTCGGTATGTATTTGACGTTACACTGTTGTTGAGTTTGCTCCGCGGTTACAATACGTGTTGATTTTAAAATTAAATAACATAAATTCTATTAAATAACATGGAATGAAACTTCACACTGAAACAAAGTAAGTATTTTTACATATGATATTTGCTCATTTTAAATTTCTTGAAGATAGTATAACGAAGATTGGCATAGTCCACGAACTTTCCGAACAACCCTCGTATACCGGTGAAGGACTTCAAATTTAGACCTTTACTCGACATTCAGGGCCATTGAGCAGTGAGGGTTCTTTATCGTGCCAACGCCTACGGTTTTTAAGGTCTCATCCAAGAGAAGGGCAACTTTCACTTCTAAGTGCCATGCACTTGGCGAAGGAACAGTTGCAACCTATTTTTTTATCGACTTAGGTCAGTCGCGGCCGTGATTCGAACCGACGACCTTCCGATCACGGAGCGATCTTGAAATCCATTGAAAATCTACAACATTCAAACCCCTATAACACACATGAAACCTTGTCACGGTGCAGTAGAATACACAGTAAGAACTACATACATTTTTATACGACAGACGACATCAAAAAATCATGCTTAAATAAAAACTTGCATCATTTTCCTCTGCTACATATTTATTTTCGTCAATTTAAAAAATATAAATCTCGAGTATAAGTGAACACTATCTTCCTCTCATCAAAACCAGGAAGTATTTAGATGTATGGACACTTCAATGCTGGAATTGGCTGCTTACATAAGGTTTCCCTTTATCTCGTATCACATGCCACATCCAATCTACTAGTAAGCAATTCATGTATTCAAAAAAAAAAAATGAACCTAGCAAAAAATTATTGCCGCGGTAATTATCCAATAAGCATGTCATTCTGCTGTAGAGTTAAATGTTTTCCATTGTCCAAATTGTCAACCTCCTTTTCCTAAATTCTTTAATTTCTTCAAAGAATCCCCAGAGAAATTATTTTTTTTCTGTTCAATGACTTCATACTAAAAAGAAATTCACTTGGTGAGAAAAATCTATTTATCAAGATACATTGCAACATTCTTTTTAAAAGCCACACTGCATATATATATATATATATATATATATATATATATATATATATATATATATATATATATATATATATATATATATATATATATATATATATATGACCTTAAATATACTTGTGTTCTTAGAGTACCCATTTCCGTGTATGTCATAGTTGGAATTGTTACAGTTGTGTTATTATTTACATGAAATATGTTTGTTCTGCTTCGTCAGTTGGCTCGTAGAAGTAAAGAAACTAGAGACAGTTTGCTGAACGCCCTTTTTGCACAAAATAAGAGGTTCTTTTACAGTCCAATCTCGTGAAAGCTAAATCAATATGTATGTTATGCAAGGAAGTTTAAACGAATCAGAGATTTACCATGTTAAGGTCTCCAGTAATTTCCTTTCATTTGTTGAGCCTATTATCCATGTTATGTAACTTGTTTATATTTGTGTTCTATGCAAATGTTTAATGGAGATACAAACTACATATTGCGAGGACAAAACTAGAAACCAGAATCTGAAATCTTGCAAAATAATGGGTTGGAGTCAATAGATATGGGTAGTTGTATGGAATTTCTACGATTACATTTATTTTCTTTATCTGCAGAAACCAATAGGAGAAAACCACCGACTGTTCCAAAGACTCAACATGGTAGGCAATATTCTAGATACTTTATACTGTGATCCATTGTCTCGCATGCAGATAACATTAAAAAATATCGAGGCGAAAAGATCGCAAAACTTTAATGTTGTGAAGGAGTTTTACAGTTTATGGTCTTAAATAGCTGATTTAGACAGAAAAGAAAGTACCAAGGAAGGAAAGTGACTAAACAGTCTTATTCACAATTAATTTACAGATATACATGTACATTCACTTTAATTCTCCGATAGCGTTGACTGTATGCACAACTAACTTAAATTCTTGCTGGTGAAGAAAAGAAATTCTTGCTGATAAAATGCATTGTCACATTTACAGATATTCAAAAACCATCTGCCGGGGGGCCAGAATTCAGACATGCTACTAAAATCAAAGAAGATACTAAATCTAATCCTTCTCCAGGTCCAAATAAAAAGAAACCACCACCACCCATTAAAGGTTGAAACAATGCTGTTTTTGTTTTTTTGTGTTTTTTTTTTTTTTTTTGTTTGTTTTGTTTTTTTTTTTTTGCATGGAATGAAACCTACACTTGTTCTTTTGTTTTTTGTTGTTTTTGTTTTTGTTTTTTTATGCATTTTAGAATATTCGACTAATAATTCCATTGAATGTTTTGATAGTTGAGGTCGCATGTCCTGTAAGTTCTTTCATAATTGTTGCATGACAATACAGTTAAGCCTAAGAAGGTTTCATCAAGGAAAGAAAAAACTGACCGGGAACAAGATTCCGATGATGAGGATGCGGGTGATTATGAAGAGATGAGTGTGTTAACACCACCCCCCGTTACCAAACCCTTTTCCAGAATCCAACCTATCGCTAGAAAGCAGCCACCGATTCCTCTATCTTCGTTACCAGGTATTTCTGCGCTGCACCGTTATAAATAAATCACTTAATGATTTTATATTACTAACCTAGGTCTAGAATATCACATTCACCGTTTCTGTGGCTATTTTTATTTCACATGAACCAAAGGCTAAATTGAGCTTCCCGATCTCTTCCGTATGTCAACTTCTTCTCCAGAACCGTTGGGCCAATTTCAACCAAACATGTTACTCAGAGCAATCCTGGATAAAAGGAAAATAAAGTTATTCACGTAATAACCATGCCGATGATGGCATCATTTGTAATCTTACATGTATCAAGATCCTTTGGACCGGAAAGGACAAATCTCCTGTGAATGTTTCCTTATATAGTGTAGATTCATATTTTTTTTAATTCTTGGCCCCTGGGACTAGAATTGGTTCTCAATCTGGGGTTAAAGATTTATTCAAGATTTTATTGGAAATATCTTTGTAAATCTTTTAAGGAACAGCAGGACAACAATGCGTTATACTGATATGCAAGCATTTGCATATCGTGTACGTTCAAAGTTCAAACCATGACCCCTGGGAGCTAGGGTGGGGACATAGTTGAAAGTCAATTTTTGTATACAAATATATATGGAAAAATTCCTCCAGAACAGAAAGATTATTTTTAGTCATTGTACTAGATAAGCATTTTTGTAGTATAGAATCAGGTTTCTTCAAAACATGGCCCCAGGGGCTAGAGTGGAACCACAATAGTGAGTCAATGATTGACATGGGTAAATGTAGAAAACAAATCATTAAGAGTCTTCTTTTCCAGAAGAGTGCCACAATTAGTCATATCAATATGTAGACATTTTCACAGAGTGTACAGTTAGGTTTTTTCAAATAATGAACCCTTTGATGTGGCAGCAGTATGGGGTTAAAGTTTGACAATTGAATATATTGCAAGAACAGCAGAGTTACAACTAGTAGTACTTTATGCAAACATCTTCATGTAGTGGGATTTAAGTTTTCAACATCAATTATGGGTTGCAATATGGGGTCAAATCTTTATAAGGGAAAATAAAGTAAAAATCTAATAAGAGCTTTTTCTAAACAACAACATTAATTTATCTTTATACCTTTTTATCTTTATGAATTCTTAATCCTTGATTAAGGCGGGGCAACAACAATAGAGTGTCAAATATCTCTCTCTCTCCCTCTCTCTCTCATACATACATTCATTTGAGGAAAAATATAATATTTTACAAAAACAACAGCTTCACATTAGTTATTTTAATATGCAAGAATTCCCATGCAGTGTAAAAGCAGTTTGTTTAAATTTGGCCTCTCGAACAATAAGGGTCAAAAATTTAATCTGATATTATATAGGGAAAATTTACAGAAAGCTTCATAAGAGGAGCAGGTCATTTGTTGTCAAATTGTTAAAAATCCTCGTATAGATGCATATTTTTTAACTGTGGCCCCTGGGGAAAAGACTGCGCCACAATTTGGGAGAGAGTTTTACAAAAACAATATTGGCATTTATAAGATTAACGCTGGCACAATTTGGAAAGTTGACATTTAAAAAATATTGCAAATTCAAGTTGTTGAATCAGGACATTATATGATTTGGTGACCACAATAACAGATTTCGTTGATCTATTTGTACAGTCCGTATTCATTATTCAGGAAGAAAATAGTGACTCAGGTGAGCGTTGTGGTCCATGTGCCTCTTGTTTTACAAAAACCAATATTGCAATGTGCATGTAAGGGGCATGAAGCATAAATAAACATTTATAAAGAATTCATTGTATATATATCCATGTATGAACATTTCACGACTCTGTTCTTAATTAACTTTGTTGCATTTTTTTTCTTTGAACGTCTAATGTTTGTTATTGAATGCACTTTATTTTACTTATTTTATATATATATATATATAATGAATACAAAAATAGTTAAATGAAAATAATTCAATTCCTCTTTTAATTTTTTTAAACACACATATCTTTAAACTCGCATGTTTTTAGAATTATGGAATGCAAAAATTTTAATAACAGTTGAGAATATTTATGGTTTAGTAAAATGCTGAATAAAAAAATTCATATTCTGAGATGTAAGAAAGTATCCTATCACTATTATTGTTTTTGTAAAAATCTAGGATAAAAAATGGTGGGCTCTTATTTTAGTTACGAGTTATGTTACAGTTTTAGAAGACGATTCCGAAGATGATGAGCCAGAGAGTGCTTATGAAGAGATTCCAGATATCCTGGAAGTCGAAGGTAAATTTTCATTCCGTGTTTTGTATATAAGATGCAATGTAAGATTTATCAATAAATATAGTACAATAATACGTGTGTATGTCACAAATTATTTTATACGGAAAATATATTCTATTGACTACATATTTGTCTGTGTGTAATAATGATGGTAGATGATTACTAGTAATTGTAGACTTTTGCCAATATGTTTGAAAAGAAAACTTTATACATAATCCAAACGAATCAATAATTTCATCGTAAATTGATATAATTAATAATCGTAATCCTGTATCTCCAGAAATTAAACGTAAGTAGACATTTGAAGGTCAAACATTGCTTATGGTCTGATCTTAGCATGCTCAAAATCTGCTGGCAATACGTAGTATGTTACATACAATTCTTACCTAAAATGAAAAAATGAATGATTGATTATTAAGATAAATAAGAAAATTAGCAAAGAACACTTTTGTTGCTTAAAGATAAACGCTATGTAGGAGACTCAAAAAGCTTAGTTCTTGCTGCATAATTTCAGCACTGATTTTTTACACAGACCTGCAGCTTGAATCATTACTCCATTTTCAAAAATGATTGTAATGTAATGTAAACGCATCATTGCATGTTTGTAAAGAAACAAATTTCAGAAATGCAAAGATGTTTTAACCAATATGAAATATTTTAAAAACATTTGATCATAAAGAATTAAGAGTGTTACACTGCGGTTAGAATTCTATACTGGATGATCATAATGACCTCCTTCAAAACTTTTTTTTTCATCTCAATATATGAATTATACTGAAAGACAAAGTTAATGATAAATGTTTACCATGTAGTTTGAGTCACTAAATATTTGATGATTTGCTTCTTAACAGTTGATTCATGATTAAAATACTTGAAGGATTCTAGCTGAAGAAATCAGACTTCTTATATATTCGCGCCTGATTTTAATTAGATTACTAGCTGAAACAATGTTTTGTGAAGGGTCAATGTGATTTTCATTTAAAAGTTTTCATTGTATTAGTCAGAGAGTAGATTACTGTACATTATATTATAATGACTTTTAGACTCTGGTGCCCAAAGTAAGTATATTAATAACAAGAACACATTTAGAGTGAAAGTGACTGTTTGGTGCTTATTAAAAAAGCAGAAAAATAATGCTGTTTCTATCATACTGCTTTTGCAACTGCCAAGAAAAACTTAACATTACATAGGGAATCTGCTGCTTAGGCTTATATTTTCCTGACTGTAATGCATTTTTTTAAATGTCACGATGTTTCCAGATATGTAGCTACACTAAAAAGTTACTTAATCCTATATGGATTCGTCATAAACATTTGTAAGTTAGTGTATGTGCTAAGTTAATTGTTGGGATAGAGTGTGAACGCTCTTCTAAGTTGTTACTTGTGGAATATATATCTTCAACTGAATTGATGAGCTATTATTGAAAAGAAACAAAGATACTCACAACATTGAAAACGTAGAAATATTTCTCTTCCAAGCTTTTTAAGCAATAGTCCAAAACCATGAGGACATTGAATCGCTGTCTTCAGACATAAGGTACTGTATAATTGTCCCCCCCCCCCCCCAGGAATTCGTTAAATGTCTTGTAGTCACCTGATGACGGTCTTGTGTCGTTCAATGCCTCAGATCAACAAAGACGTTTCGATTTTCTATCATTAAATTGGTAGCAGTTTCAAAACTCTTGTTCTATACCTGAACTTGGTGTCTACTGTACATAAATTCCTTCGTTCTCTATATCAGCATCAATAGTCAACTGAAGATTAATGACAGGTGGAAGCGTAGTGAAAATTCATAGCCATATCAGTTAAGAATATACTGTAGATTCCTTATTTGATGCGAGTACTTAAGATGACGAAGCACCCGATTGATGTCAAATCGCGAGAATATTGAAGCAAAACTGAAATCAAGATCAATTATCCCTTCGTTTCTCGGTAGTTACATTGTGATGACTTCCTGTTTCTTTGTTCCCTTCGGTTCTCAGCAGGTCACGTGACCTGAAGTGTGTATATATACGGAGACAGTCGGGTTGTTTGAAGCAGTCTGTTGCTGACGACTGGCTTGTAAAGACGGTCTAGAACAGAAGAGCTGAACGTGGTAGGTACTGCAAGGGAATCCTTGAATAAAGTCTTACGTGCCTGAATCAGGCTTTCAGGACTTTGGTTGGTTATATATATTTATATAAAGTACCTTTATACATTTGTGTGACTGAAGGCAAGAAGCGAATGCGCTTCAGTCCTTGGAAGGCGCGTGCGCTCCCGAGGAACGAGAGGGATAGTGTACATATTTCTAATTTAAATTTGTGATTGAGAAAATTGATTAATTCTTAAATTGTTCAGATAGAACAACCGAATCCCATAAAAGAACCCGGAAACGTTACAATATGAATTAGCGAGGTGGCTGTTTATCAAGAGTTTTTCATGTATATCAGCAATAAAAGAATATACTAGTAAACGAATCATTTTGTTTCGCCAGTGGTGCTTCTCGCGAAATTACGCTTTAATAATTCCCCGTGTGTATTTAGAAAATCTACAGTATCCAGTTTTTCTTTGTTATTTTAACTTAAGTGTCATTCTTGTGTGTACTAACAGCTAAGAGTTAAACACATTGCAATGTTACAATTTGTGCATTTATGTTAAAGGTACCAGGATATTAACCAATTGCATCACCGAATAAGTGACTTTTACAGAATCTGTAATACATATTGCCTTTGTGCACCTCCTATTTTACATTTTGATGAGACACATATTTGGGGTATTTGGGGTTTCCTATGTCAAAACATTGATACTGCCATTCTTTCTATAATATTGGGGGTACCCATCTCTTGTCCAGAACTCCTCCTATACCACTAAATGAAATGTAATTAATGAGACTTTCCCGGAAACTTTATTACATAGTGCTACGAGTATTGCGCACCTCCTTTTTTTTCGTTTTCATCGAACACATATTTCTCACTATTTTCGTACCCAAATGGGACCGGGGAACTCATTTTGTGAGGTCATTGTTCACAGTACCTCTAATTCGTTCTATAATGCTAGAAAATTTAATGAAAAAGCTTTCACGGTAAGAAAACGCCAATTCTACATGTATACTAAAGATCTACCTAAGTCTGCAAAGACGTCATTACAAAGTTTACATAAAACTGAACTGCTTTCCTGTGCGCCGTGACGTCATCAAGTGTCGCCATTTTGCATATAGTGTGTTAGCCATTTTCCCATTTCAAATGCTTAAGAAACTGCCCAAAATTAAGTAAATACCTTGAAATATTCCAAGTGACAATGTAATAGATAGTGAAAAAGGTGAAGATAACGAACATTGATTGATCTAAAAAAAAAATCTACAAACAATACAAATCTGTGAACAAGTCATAAAACATGGACCCCCGGAAATCCGGATGTGGAATACGGTGCCTAGAAAGAATAAATCGATCGATCACATCCGTCTGAGCCTTATGTGTTAATCAGGAATACTCCGTAGTCAAATGTAGTATAAAAACAAAGGCCTAATAACTGATATGAAACACGGTCAGCCAAAATACGACCCAGTGATAGGTTACATTTGCTAAGAAGGTCATTATAACGACCATATAATTTGCGAAACGCTGAATTTAAACGAGTTAGCCGAAATCCCTGTAACATCAACTTATGTGTCAATAGTCTGCCTCAGTTTAAAAATTGATCGTACTCAGAACATGGTCTTAGGTATCGAATATATTGGGAGACGTAATCACCGCAGGTGATAGTGGAATACATAAATAAGGAAGGTTGGCAATGGAAAAGCTGAAGTCATCTCGATTGTCATACTGTTTAGTTGTCAGATGGCCCTTATCGTCTATAGTCAGTAGAACATCCAAATATGAAAGAGATGTGACAGACTGTGCTATCTTTCTTTTGGAGTTCACTGGAATATATCAAGTCGACATATGAATGGAAGTAACTATTGTTAAATAATAAATAATCTGAATGTGGAGTTGAAGGCCACAGCAAGTGTTTTCTTCTTCTCGCGTAGAAGTTTCTGTATAAATTCTTAAAATCATGTTAATTTTATAACACATTCTTATCTATTTAATACTATTATTTCGAAATAATACTTGCATTATCTCTAATAAAACCCTGATTTTTTGGTCGTGCGCCGTAGGACCATACCATTTGCACATTCAAGTACAATAAAATCCTTATTTTTTGTCTATATATTTTATTTAAAAAAATACTTAAATAGGTTGAATAAACATTTGCTGAAATTCAGCTTAGTGTGCGTATTATTTCTCAATAAAAACGTGTTGACGCGTTGTCCACGATTTTACCGGATAACCTTTATATGGGGCAATAATACAAGATATCATTACCGGGGAATTATTTTTTATTTTATTTTTATTTTTTGATTTATCTATTTTTTTTTTACTCTTTTAGAGGAAAATGGCTAGGGGTGGTAAAAACAATAATTTTCTGTACTCTGTCACTTTTACTTTAAGAATAAAAGAGGACATAAATGGTCATTATGGACAACGCTGTGCATATTTTTTTTCTATTTATTTGACCAGAAGAAGTACGCAAAGGTTTTACAAAAGTGAAGTCATATAAATGATTTTTTTTATTGTATACCTTTTCTTTTTAAAGAATATTCCAAGAAAACTGGACTAGACTTTTCAAAGTTTCCAAAGGTATATTTGAAATTACTTCCTTGTCCTCTTTTACCACATTTGAATGATCTTCATGAAAATAAACTTTTTTAGTTACTTGTCTAAAATTGTTTTATGTTTTCAAAGACCTTTAGAGTTGGCTTGAAAAAGGTCCATAATGAGTTGAAGAAATTGAAGCGCTCACATTCCGTTGAAGTAAAAAGTCCCCCTTCTTCTCAAGACCTCAATGTTCCACCCAGCATTGACGATCTCAGCCTGAGGGATAGTGATGACAGTGATGAAGAGGAATCACTTGCGTACGACTACCCAGACCTGACAAAGCTTGCGTCCATGCCACGTCCTCCTCCTGTGAGCGATACACCTCGTTATCAGGCGTCACTAAGAGTAACAAAACCAGTTGGCAAAATACAACCAATATCTCGCGAGGAGAATCCAACGAAGAAATTCAGTGACATGACAACCGAGGAAGTCGTAAGCTTGTTTAAAATGACCAAGTTACCATCGTTGGCCACTATGTGTGAAAAAGAAGGTTTGGATGGAAGCTTCTTCAGTTCTCTCAGTGAGACAGAGTTGAAAAATGCGTTCAAACTTAGTGATTTGCAATTTATCAAAGTGAATAAAATCATAAATGAAGGATGGCGCCCTCACGTAAACTAATAATAATCTTAGAATTGAATTAACAGACACAACGCACAGTTTTGGCGTCAGCAGACTTTGAAATGGACGCATATCTTCTGTTAATGGCCATAGGTAAATCATAGATACTTTTGCTAAACAAATGCACATACAGGGGAATCATTTTAAAGAAATTTAAGAAATATACAGAAAAAGACTAACATTTTCTCTACCGAGAAACATGTAGGAATTTCCGTATGTGTTAGATTTTTAAAGCTGAAATAGTGTTTCATAAATTAGATTTTATAACAAGTTCAATAAGGATACATGTGTACTGTTTTATAATTACTATAAACTCAACCAGACACGAGGGTGTTATAAAAACATTAAATATTAGTGTTTACAATATCAACAAATAGGATCACTTTTGTCTGAAATTCAGATGCCTGAATCAGCGCGGAGAAAAAAATTGAAATATATATGGATTCTTTTGTGGATTATGAATCTCTGTAATGTATTTCGGATTCACTTTATCCTATATTGCAAAAGGTGTTCGCTTTATCTATAGGCAGAAGTGACCTGTTTTTCTTTTGTGATCAATTTATTTATTGAGGGTTGAAGAGCTCCTGTCCTATTTGAAAAGAATGTGTTCATAGATGAGCATGTAACTATTTACGCTGTAATAAATACATTATATGCTAACGTAGATAGAGGAGGGTAATGTTTTTGTCTGGCTCTTCCATTATCATTTTTATGTTGAAATATTTGTAAAAATGCTCATTATTTTATGGAAGTGATTTTAAAAAAATGTAAAAATGCTTTTTTTGGCAGATTTGCGGAAGCATATACATTGTATATAGTTTTGTTAGATTTGTTTCCTTTTCATTACTTAACGTTCAGAAACTCATTTTTCATTTTCTTCCATAAGTTATTATGAAACTAAATGCTGTTCATATTTTAAAATAACAGGTATTCAAATTCTAATTTATGAAGCTTTTTTTCCTTAAAATGTTCTCAATTTTGGGCTAATAAGTATGGATTCAAACAAGATACTGACATTTTTTATTGAGCATGCTTATAATTTTTATTTATATTTGTCACCAAGTCAGGCTTTACTTGAACAAATATATTTACCTAAGGAAACAGAGGGATAAGGGAATATTTATGACTGATCTGCTTGACTTTCGACAATATGAAAATTATTGTCGATGGTCAATTGCCCTGGTATAAATAATTGACTTGGTTGTGTTTTATGCATATATGTTCATTACAAATAAAAGTCCTCTTTAAAGATGAAAGTAAAATTAGCAACTGATATATAATGTGTTTATAAGAAAACGTAAGAACTTTTTTGTAATATGATAGATAATTATGTTCTTTGCTTATTCACATATATAAATACACATATGTGTATATAAAAATAACAATTGGACTGTTTATTAATTTTAGTTTTCTTATCTCTTTACAAAAAAAACTTATTTATGTTTTAATATATAAAGATATCTACAATTTATATTTGTAAATAAAATTGAAGATAAAATAATCAAAGATAAACTATTGTGACTTGGATTTTATAACAAATAGTTTGGTATACAATATGTATATCTAAGACCGTACAAAATAACAAAAACGCCAATGTCCATCATCTTTTTGAACTACCCTCGCACAACATGATATTTGTGTTCTGAAATGTTTATAAATATTAAGAAATGATTTACAGCTTTTGTTGCAATAAATAGTAGGTTTCAAACAAGTGAAAGTTAAAAAAAAACAACTTATTTTTAATATACGAGTATTTTTACATTGAAAACAGCAAACTGAATGAAAACGCTATATCACGACCATTAATTTGTGATATAATACAAAAAAGTGTGAGGTATTTTGCAAACTAGGTATTGGATTTCCAGCTACTACTTACGTTTATATATACACACAACAAAGCGATAGGTTAAACTGATTGGGACACGTTCTGCAGAAGTATATGTTTAGATAAGCCTAGCATTTCCCCAGTTGTATATGATTATCCACATGCTGCGTTTTATTTCTTGTTTAAAATTAAGGAAATCAATTATCATATATCTTTCAGGTTAAAAAAAGATTTCATTTATAATTCATAGAGAGATATTCCTGTTGCAAGCAGAATTGAATTTAAGTAGCTGTAATGGCAGAGATATAACTTGACTTAATTGTCTAAGAATTACCAATGAAATTGTCATCTAAACGTTCTGAGAGCGTAGGTATACGATTGATGATCAAAGATTTATACATGTTCACACGTGGTTTGGCCTGTACTCGGACAGGTTTAATTGTTTCCCTTTATTTTCATGTCATTCAAACAACATAGGAAATGTATATGATTTTCCAGTCATTTATATTGTCCTGAACATGAACATATTTTTATATCTAATGCATGCAATTTTTAAATATGCACTTCAAGAATGTAAAATTTAAAAAAAAATTGAACTTATTTCAAGAAGTACTACAAGGTGCTTGTATTTCAAACATCTTGATAACATTTGGGTATTACTTAAGAATATTGATTATATATTGGCATAGCATGTCTACCAATATTAGCAAATACGCATTGTGAAAAGGAAAATGAGTCATTGGAAGCTACTATTGAGAGTGACTTGAAGGGAGTGCAAAATCTTTCTGTATATTGGATAAACATAATAACACTTCGTAGTGAACTTGATAACCACAAAAAATAATAATTCGTCCGAAATATCAAAATCCAACTACAGTGTAATAAGACAAATGCTTATAAGTCCATTGTATCAATGATGACGATGAATATATATATATATATATATATATATATATATATATATATATATATATATATATATATATATATATATATATATATATATATATATATATATATATTATACATATATTACATGGCTTCGAGGGCAACATACCAGAATATTTGCCCCCGAGGTGACAGGAAAGCCCTGGAGTGTTATGTCGCCCGATGCCGAAGGCAGAGGGCGACATAACACTCCAGGGCTTTCCTGTTACCGAGGGGCAAATATTCTGGTATTGTTACCCGAGAAGTCATGTAATATATGGTATATAACATTTTTAAAAAAAACAAAATCGGACATATGTATTGAAGACTATGGACCTGTGTAAATATCTGGAAAAAAACATGCAAATTGTTTTTTAAATAGTTGATTGGTGGGTACCAATAGTTTCGATAATAATGCTAAGGAACATTAACACTATTGTTGTTAAAATGATAACGGGGAACGGCTGAAAGTTATGAAGGCTGATTTCTCTTCCTCTATAAACAATTCCGAAATATTCCCTCTTGTTTCATTGCAGAATGTTTTCAGCACGCTGACACTTGTGCTTATAATTTTTGTTGTATTTACGGAATTTTTCTCCTCAATCAAACTATCTGGTTCCTCTGAATTTAAATGAACATAAAAAAACGTAGACGTTTTCCAGACATTTTCATTTTCGCGGAACTGTTTACGTTTGCTTAGCAACTGCCTCTGTGAATTTCGAACCCGATTTAATTAATATGCAGAATGATTACACGCGAGGGAATATAACGGTGTTCGGGAGGGCAACATAACTGTTTCCGGTGTAATATAACTATATCCGGCGTGATTCAGCAGTTTTTCAGGGCATATGGATAAAAATATCATATTTGTGATATAATGGGAAAACTTCTTCAAAAATGTTATATATATATATATATATATATATATATATATATATATATATATATATATATATATATATATATATATATATATATATATATATATATATATATATATCCAAACTTGAAACATTCACAGTGTCCGGTTTTTATATAGATAAAATTAAAAAAAAAAGAAAGGCAACACAGGTTAAAACGTTATCGCTTTCATTATTATCTTCAGACGTTTTCAGACGTTTTACAAATATTTACAAATACATTTGTAAAACGTCTGAAGATAATAATGAAAGCGCTAACGTTTTAACCTGTGTTGCCTTTCTTTTTTTTAATTTTATCTATCTATCTATCTATCTATCTATCTATCTATCTATCTATCTATATATATATATATATATATATATATATATATATATATATATATATATATATATATATATATATATATATATATTTACATTTCCAATGTCTTTGTCCGAGATAAAATTTCAAATAGTAAAAATACTTTATTTCTACATAAATCTACTGGTTCATCGAAAGGCGTGGTGAAACAAAAAAATCACGTGCGGGGCGGGATAAATAGAGACAGAAGCGGGTCTTGTAGCACGTGACTTTGCAGAATCAAGAGCATGTAAATATGAGGAATAACTGTCAGATTTGTTGGTTTCATGACGATGATCAATCGATTGGCTTGCGTGATAATTTTATGCAAATTATCACGCAAGCCAATCGATTGATCACATCATGAAACCAACAAATCTGACAGTTATTCCTTAATATATATATATATATATATATATATATATATATATATATATATATATATATATATATATATATAACTAAATTTTTAGAGAGATAAGGGATTAACCCTTGAATCTGTGACATTTTCATATAAAATGTGCATTATTCTTTCTGTTGCATATGTTTGAACAGTTATAAAATATAAATCTTTAGTAAAGAAAACTTGTACAATCTTGTCTCTTTATCAAAATAAGGAAGTGTTAAATACACACTAGCTTCTATATCGGTATTGAATAGTTACGTAACGAATAATTTATCTCGTATCATGTGCCACACATCCAATCCGTGCATTAAAAAAAACCTTTTGGTTAAGTGCCATTTGCTGCAGAGAAACCCAGACCTCTCATTCTGCTATGGAAGGTAATAAGGAGTATGTTCCATTGTACAAATTGTCAACATTTTTTTTCCTTTAACTTCTTTATTTTCTTGCAATAAGACTTCTTTGTTCCTAAGTGGTTTATTTTCAGCCCTTATAATTTTTTTTAAAGTTGAAAACCAATGCTTGAAAAAAGCATACTATATTTTTCTTTTCTTTTACATTAAATTCTAGTAAAATATAAGCTAATAATGCAATAATCGTATGCATTTTTGCATTCTTTTTAAGAGCACATTGCAAACATGCACATACAAAATGCATATGTTTATAACCTTTAATTTACTTGTGTTGTTTTAGAGTTCCACTTCCTGGTCATACATTAGTAGATCTGTGTGTATTATTTGCATGAAAATATGTATAGTTCTGATGAGCCAATTGGCCCAAAGTAATAAAGAAACTAAAGACGATTTGCTGAACTTAATATGACAAAAAAAAAATTTCTTTTACAGTCTAGTCTCGTGAAAGATAAATCGATAATTAGGTTATGCAAGGAAGTTTAAACGGATCACATATTTACCATGTTAAGGTTTCCATTAACGTTTTGAATGTCCTTTTATAGTTTTTTAAAATTCATTTTGTACCTTGTGTTTATTTGTGTTTTATGCAAGCATACATAGTAGAAAGCAGTGACCAAGCTATCAATCAGAATCTTAAAATCTTCTTAAAATAATATGTTTAATATGGATGGTTTCATTTAATTTTTACAAAGTATTTGTTTTTCTTTATCTGTAGAAAGCTCTAGGGAAAAACATCCGTAATTCCAAAGAATCAGCTTGGTCAGCTTAACACTTTGACGTTCTGTAAGCAATTTTCTGGCATGCAAAGAGCTTTCAAGAAATTGCGATCGATAAAATAACAAAACTATACGGAATTTCTAAAAATAAGATTTAATGAGGCATCTTCATGTTTAACATCTTATTCCTATACACAAAACACGGTGAAATTAATTCAGTAAGGCTCGTGTCCTTTATACAGCTTCATCAGTGCTGCGCCCATCTCCTCTGAAGGTCTCTCTCAAACCTTCTCCTCCTAAAATTTCTCTAATACTTTTGAAATCCTTTTCCAAATCTTCTTCCTTGAAGTCTTCTCCAATACCTAATCCTCTGAAATCTTCTTCCATACCTCCTCCTCTGGAGTCTGACAAACCGTATCCTCTGTACTTTTCTTCCAAACCAGTTCTGTTGCTCTCTCTCATTGTCTTCTACAATGAGTATTTTACATATAAGTATTCGTAACAATAAAAAAAAAACATAAAAAACTCTCTCTCTCTCTCTCTCTCTTGAATGTTGATGTTCCAATGTATTTTTGCTTAAATATTGAAAATAAAAAATTGTTGAGGGGAAACATATACTAGTACGAAAAACATATTACTTTTTTAACAATTCCGGGGCATATTTTAATACATCTCATCGAATAGGTGCATATGGATATGTTTATATGAATATGAATGATTTTTTGGGAGGTAAATTTTAAAGTATTACATATGTATACATCTCTAATAATTTCGAAAAGAGATCCATCGTTATTCTTGATTTTTCGCTCCTCACCGTCAACCAAAATATGATGTAGAACGTGTTCGGAAACAAGTTCTACATCACACCGATTAACCCCTGGGAATAACAACTTCGCCGCGCGCATGGCAACAATGGCTAAATTTCCGCAGACTTTGAAAAATTGTGTTATACTTGTTTGTTTAAAGTTGTACGTGTCCAAATTGACTTGATGAATCTTAAATGTTTAAAATAAAATAATTTACATTCAGTAACACATGCAAATCCTTGTCACTGCGCGGTAGAATGCAATGAAGGAACTATACGCATTTTCAATATTCTAGGAACACCAAAATATTGAGAAAATATAATATAATCAGGCCATTATTGACTGTTCATTTAAAAATGTTTAATGTCTTAATTAAAATTTTTAAAACAATGTATCAAAATTTCTATCAAGACGGTCATTGACGGATTTAAAATGCGAGCATTTGAAGGTGAAAGGGAACATCATATAAGAAGAGTATTTACATGACCACGCACCTGGCACACACACGAGCACTCCTAAGTTTTGATCCTCTACACATTTCTCACCATCTTCACAGTCGCTGTCGACAGAACAACTTTCTAGAGATGGCGGCTGGGATAATTCATATTCCATTTCTTCTGCAGAATATAAATGGTTTATAGGCTTGTGAAAAATAGTGTTTTGCCATTGGTTAAAAAATGTTAATACTTTTAAGTTAAATATGTGATACTGATACAATCTATGGAAAAGAGCATCACTTTGTCCAGTATGATCATCCATCAGAAAGACCTAGATGCTGATGTAGTTGATATGTTTTCAGTGTAGTTAAAGTCTTGAATGAAACTTATCTTACCTTTTTGGGCCAGACCCAACCCAACAATGAACAAGATAACGAAAATCTGTAGATACTTCATGGTGGTTTCTCTTGTGGTTTCTCTTGTCTCATCTGGTTACAAATTACTGAATTCACTATTTATGTATCTGAGTGAGGTGATTTCTAAGACATCTCGACTGTAAATATAGCACAAGTTGTTGATATTATTGTCTAAGTGTAGAACAACATCCGCTCACCATTTCGGAATTAATTTATTGTGCATGGAATGAGATCCTTCTTAAGAGAATGCAACTTGCAGGTTTTTGTAATGTTTATATCATGATAGATAAAGAGACAAATAAAGTTTTACTGTACTTGAACGTATTATCAAAATTAATGAAAAGTTAAAAAACAAATTCCGTTTCAAAATGTTTAAGAACTACATTTCTAAAAGAATTTGATTTTTATGTGAAGATAGCGAACACTGACCATGTTCAAAAAGTCCATTAATCAATACATATTGTGAAAAGAGCCAACACGGGCATCTGAAAATGGAGTTGGGATCAGGCGCAATGGAAAGTAAGCATCTCCTGAAGACCGGTCATACCTGCCGTGTGCCCCTTGTCATGATCGGGCGAACGGGAAAATCCGAATAATTGTCTAAGAATATGTATGAAAGACGCCAGTCAACATTTGAACTAACGACAGATTGTATTTGCAAACAAGATCATTGTATTGACTATAATTTTTTTTTAAATATAACATTTAAAAGCAATTGTTGATACCTTGTATTTTCAACTTATTTGTCAATAACCTGCCTCGTTTTTATTAATTGTTCGTAAGTAGAACATGATCTTGCGTATCAAATCAACTGGCAAACATAAATATAAAGTCCTTATGCAGATGATGATGGTATATTACTACACTGTACATACATAAGGGAAGTTGATGATAGAAAAGTTGATCAAGTTTATCATATATCATAAAGTTAGAATGTAAGTCTGCCATCAATGTCCTTCTCTAGTAAAGTATCTAAATATGAAATAGATGCATCAGACTCAGTGGTGTCGTTTATTTTGAGTTCAGTGGGATATATCGAACCAACGTAGGAATGAAAATGATTGATTGATTGATTGACTGTAAAACCAAGCAAGTGTTTCATTGGTTACCGAAGCCTTGAGTGCATTGGACATATTGCGGGAAACGAAGAACTTAGACCTCTTCCCGACAAAGTTTCCGCTATTCACAACTTTTCCCAACCTTCAACAAAAAAGCAAATACGCTCATTTTTAGGTCTGGTAGGATTCTATCGCAAATTCATTCCGAATTTTTCAGCTATTGCTTCACCTTTGACAGATCTTACCAAAAAAGGCCAGCCAAACAAAGTGACATGGGGACCACCCCAAGAGAATGCGTTCATCACTCTCAAGACTGCTTTAACGGTATCACCTGTACTTTAATTACCTGATTTGAATGAAACTTTTGTTTTACAGACAGATGCGTCAGATCGAGGTGTTGGGGCAGTTTTGATCCAGTACGAGAATGGTATGAAAAAAAACCTGTCGCATACGCTAGCAAGAAACTGTCCAAATGTCAGGTAAATTACTCAACAATTGAAAAGGAATGCTATGCAATAATCTGGGCAGTTCAAAAATTTCGTAGATATTTGTATGGAAAGGAATTCCTACTAGAAACAGACCATCAACCACTGGTTTATCTTACCAAAGCCAAAGTATCAAATGCACGACTGATGCGATGGGCATTATTACTGCAACCATACAGGTTTCGCATCATTTCAATCAAGGGATCAGAAAACGTAGGAGCTGATTGTCTTAGCAGAATGTAGTTGTGTTGTATATATTGTATAGATGATTTTATGCCATATTGATTGTGTTTTTTTTCAAAAGTTCATTGAACTTTCTTTTGTTTGGGAGATACGTCACAATCAAAATTTAATCCCGATTATTGTTTTATTTATGTTTATGATTTTTACTTATTTTTCCTTTACGGGACCTCTTTATTCTGTTACCTGTAATGAACCTCAAATTTAGAAATTGCAGGCATTGGTCAGTTACGGCCTATTGTATTTGGAGTATTTAAATTGCTGTATTGCTGACCAGGTAGCCGGGGTCCACGTTTTCATACTTTTTACATGCTTGACGTACAATCCAAGATGTATAGATAGGTAGTTTTTACAACGGTAACTATTTCTCCATGAGGGGTAAGTTAAATTTTCTTATTATTTAGTATTTTGATATTGCATTAAGATTTGTGAACTTTGTAAGAAAACGGGTTAAGTAATGTTTTTGTTACTGTTTACGTATACAAGTTTTGCTGAGTAGAGTTACTCATGCGTGTAATGTTCTGGTTTTGTGCATGTACTAAGTTATGTACGCACGCAATGTATTTTGTCTTGCCGCTTATACAGTCGGTGTCGTGGGTTTAGTTGTTAAAACCACTTGTGTTAAGACATTGTGTATTCTTAACGCTGTCTACATATATAACAGTGTTTGGTTAGATTTACTGTTTGTACGGTGTGCCATTTGTGCAATGATAGTCAATGGTGACTACCAGGTAGTCTTTTTTAAGGTATACGTAACCTGTGAATTAAAAATGTTATTTAATTTTAAGGTTCCTGATATAATCCTGATAATATCTAGTCATGTATGTGTTGGCTATGACGTTCAACAGACCGGAGACCCACTGGGAGCCAGTTGGCGGTAGTCCGTCGTGAAACGGGGCGTGTCTGGACGTGGTTGTGAGCGAACACCAGGATGACGTGGATTGAAAGATCTAGAGACCTTTAAGATATACATATTGTAAATTATAACTGTATAAATATGGTGTAAATATTGTTAATACTGATTTTATTTATATATAAAAAAATTGTAAATAGAAAAAAAATCTTGTGTCTGACTGAACAGAACACGACGGCTGTCGTGACAGACACATCGAAATGTCGAATTGAAGATCGCAGCAAGAGATTTCTTTTCATGTAGAAGGTTTGAATAAATTCTGTTTTGTAAATACAAAAAACAGGTCTGCTTATAACGCGGCACAATGAGTATCCATGCGAATACCAACAGATTGTTGAAAGACCTGGTACCCAAAAAAAACCCACATAGATATTGTCAAAGAGAGACTCAAGCACCTTTTTGATATCAACCGCGGAGTACATGTATCTGTGTTAGAATCAGAATGCTTTTAAACACAATAAGTTTGTAAATGACAAATGACAAGTTTATGTGTTCCATTTTTATTGAAGAAGCAGATGTTGATGAAAATTCTGGTTTGTTATTTATCGTATGGAATGGATGTATTAAGTTTTGAAAAGTCGAATGTTTTGGTGCCAATGGTTTTGGTAAAATGTTGTGATTTCAAATTTTTCAAGTTATTTGGAGTTTTTAAGGTCTGATGTCCTTCTAATAAGAGAGATAACTTTTAAAAAGAATTATTCAATTTTTCATCAGGTGAAGCTTATATTTAGCCACAGGTTTCCTCTGTTTCAATATTTCTTCTAAATACTATTACATCTATTGACATAACAAAAATTTTTCATAAACATTCAATTGTATTCCCCTTTGCGTCCATTTTTATAGTTTTATATATTTACCTGTACAAATTAAAATATTTGCATCTTTTCTTGCGTATTTAAAAACCTGCATAATTTAACATGTACAATATTAGTATTTTGTTTATTCTTTCCTTACAAAAAGCAAAAATATAAGAAAGATAATTCTTACTGATGGAGGCACTTTTTCACAAACATACATAACAATGCCATATTCTGACTCTAAAAGCTGAAAGCATCGCCTCCTTATGTTTATAATATGAATTTGTTATGTTTGGCACTAAATACATGTATTATTTTTATATATACCACATATTTTTAATTGTATGTAGTGATAATAAATTATGCTTTTCCTATTCATTGTGTCAGATGTTCTTCATATAATGGTTAGACATAAAATTAATTTCTGAAAAAGTAGGCCTCGCTTCAAACTTTATTCCATTTGAATCTAAAGTTTTTGCTGTTGGTGAAAATCAATGTTGGGAATTTTTAAATTTATTCTGAAATTTAGTACATAGGGACATTAGACATTTTAAAGTATCCACATTTGATTATCGCCACTTCTCAATTATATTATTGTTGTACAGTACTCCTGATGTTTCTCCTTCACTACTGTTAATTGTTATTGAATGTTGAAAAAATATGTATGCAATGTATTGGAAATAGAGAATAAAGAATCAATGACCAGATTCATCATGCTACCATTTTCAGTACGAGTATTGAAAAGTAGAGACTTCAAAAGGAATCACTTCATTGTGTGAATTCAAAGTTACAACTACCTTTTGATAAGGATGAAGGCGCATAGCATATTTTTTCAGAGGAAAGGAGGGTTAGAAATATTGAGTTCCTAGATCTCTTTTCTTTTTTTAGAATTAAAGTATGGTAAAGTGAAAAATATATGTACACATTACTTATATTTAATCTACCTGACCAAAAGTAGCAAAGTTTAACATTTTCGTATGAAACATCGTTTTTAGCTCACCTGAGCTGAAAGCTCAAGTGAGCTTTTCTGATCACCCGTTGTCCGTCGTCCGTCCGTCTGTCCGTCCGTCCGTCTGTCCGTCCGTCTGTAAACTTTTCACATTTTTGACTTCTTCTCAAGAACCACTGGGCCAATTTTAACCAAACTTGGTACAAAGCAACCTTGGGTGAAGGGGAGTTTAAATTGTTAAAATGAAGGGCCAAGTTCCCTTCAAAGGGGAGATAATCAAGAAAATGCAAAAATTGGGTGGTGTCATTAAAAAATC